CGTACCCCCAGATATAATTTCTCTTCAACTTTGTACCCCCAAAGTTGTTGGTGTAAAATCCAAGTTATACATAGTATATACTCTACATATAAAATAAATTAAATAAATTACATTACTGATTATTCAGTGTTTATCATAAATTTCACGTACCCCCTAAGATGTTTTCGCGTACCCCCAGATATAATTTCTCTTCAACTTTGTACCCCCAAAGTTGTTGGTGTATAATTCAAGTTATACGTAGTATATAATCTACATCTAAAATAAATTAAATAAATTACATTACTGGTTAATCAGTGTTTATCATAAAATAATATATATATTTTTTTTAAAATTTCACGTACCCCCTAAGATGTCTTCGCGTACCCCAGGTTGAAAACCATCGGTTTATAGTGAAGTCGCGATAATAGATGTCCATGTAAGCTGCATTAACATTGTTATTTTACATTAATTTCTTAAAAGGAATTTCATTTTATTTTTAATATTTGAAATGTTAGAAAAAAGACTAAATTTAATATGAAAATGTGTAAGTACTCAAAATTATAATTTCCGTGACATATTTTGGTCTGCGGGGATGATCATATCAAGTGGCAACCTGTAATTAAAGTTGAGACCTGAAAGTTTAAAAAAATCTGTGACGTTAGGTGAAAAGCAGATTTCCGAAGAGAATTTCAGCCATGTGCAAAGAAGCACACAATTACTCGTTTCATTCTCTGTTGTAGCTGCTCGATGACACGGATGCTTATTCAGACATCAGTAGTCGTAGAGATGTTCGATATGGAGGACAAACCGGAAGTGACGTAGGGTCTCCTGTTTCTAGAACTAAGCTCCCCAGAGTCCAGACTCATCTGGTAAGTCGATCAGGAAGCTTTGCGTTCATTAATTTAGGAATCGAATTGTATGTTAACCGCGGTTTCTAAATTTTATATTACGTGATATTCGTACAACATAGGGTTATGTTGCACAGTTGATAAACAGTAGAAGACTTTACAGCTATTTCACTAATTTCTGTAGCCAGAAGTGTTCATGACACATGTAAATAAAAAATTTAAAAATTGTTAGTATCTTTCAGACTAAAATTAATTAATGAAATTATAATTTTATATCAAATTAAATAATGTGTCAAGAGTTTACTATTTGCATCAAGCTCAATTCTCAAAATACAACAGTTGATGTCTGAGCCACATAAATTTAAAAGTAAGAATTATACTGTTTCGTCAAAGTTGCTAAATGTTTCTTTTCACGGCGCAGAGCTGGGACCAGGAAAAGGCATCTACACCTATAGTTCCAGTGTCCGCCACTAGATGGGAATTTCCACGCTCAAAACTTCGACTGCAGACAGTTCTGGGTCAAGGAAACTTTGGACAGGTGATTATTAACGTTTTTACTGATCTAGCTCTCATACTGCATAAATTATTGTTCTTAGTATTCGGTTTCTCCGTGGCATCCCAACAATTACTCTATTCACACACAGAAGCAGGCAATGGCAAACCACTTCTGGATCATCTGCCAAGAACGTATATGAACAGGTCCCAGTCCGAGAAAAGGATGGAAGGATCCTGTTCATATGGACCTGTCGTCAGACAGAACCCTAAATAATAATAAGATGAGGTGGTCCAGCGGTTAGAACGCTGGGGTCCCGGGTTCGATTCCCGGCGGTGCCCGAATTTATAACTTGTGTTGGAAAAGGCCGTGGTCTAGGCAACACGGATTTTTCCTCCGGGGGCTTCCCAGGTTTCTCCATGGCATCCAAACAATTAAAAATTAAAATTTGTTCAAACTTGTATTCAGGTTTTAAAAGCAGAGGCAGACGACGTGAGTGGTCACGAAGGCACGACTCGCCTGGTGGCTGTGAAGATGGTAAAGGAAGGGGCTTCTTCCCACGAAAAGGAAGATTTACTTCGAGAGCTGGAGATCATGCAGCAGTTGGGCTCCCATGCTAATGTTGTCACTCTACTGGGTTGCTGTACTGAAAAGGGTAAAAATCCTTATTTCGTGTTTTATTAGTGTTATCTAATGTGATGATTTGAGTAGATGATACAGCGTCATTGACAGAGCTTTGAAATTATTCTCTTCCATACTTCCCAACGTCAACAGAAAAATTCTGGTATAATGTCGACAGTTAAGCTCCTAAATATTGTTCCGCAGAGCCTTACCTGCTGATAATGGAGTACGTGATGTATGGCAAACTGCTGGCATTTCTTCGTGACCACCGAACCAGGCAACATTATTATAACTTCTCTGAAGACTCTGACGCGCTAACCTCACGGGACCTCACAATATTTGCGTACTGCGTGGCGAGAGGGATGGAGTACCTCGGCTCCAAAGGGGTGAGGAAATTTCTTATGAAAAGTCAGCACTAAAGAGGTGTTATCGAACTTATGCTTGTATTAGTAGTCAAATTACAGGCAGTTGTAAGTGAGAGAATGTAGCTTGAAAATTTGTTGACGAAGTTCAGGTTCATGTTCAAAGAGGGCATTACTGGTAGTCTGACGAGAGAGAGAGAGAGAGTGAAAAGAATATGTCTGCGCAGATTATCCATCGAGACTTGGCAGCACGGAATGTTTTGGTAGACCACAACAAGATGTGCAAGATTGCAGATTTTGGAATGTCCAGGAGTGTGCGGGAGACAGGCGACATGTACGAACAGCAGCAGACCAAGGTGAGAATTGGAACTCGTTCTAACCTAACCTAAATTCTCGTCAAAATTCCGCAACTTCCCTGTGATTCCTTAAGAATATTTGACTACGGTATTACGTTTTAACGTATCTACCAATTCTTGAACTGAAAAATAACACAAATGTGCAATTGTAATCTTAAATTAAACTTTACCATCAGATAAAGCATAGTAATTAATGTGTGATTTGTGTTGACTGGTTATTTAAAACATTTTACTATAATTTTACAGTGTTCAGATTTATTTTTTGTTTATCCACTGAAAGATGTTTAAAATAGTTCAGTCCCATCAAATTCTGAAGGTTTAATTCCAATAAGACTAGATTTCTTAAAAATGTTCGTTGGAATGTTCAAAATAAATATACCACTTGTATTTAAAATTTTCAAAATATTTTTGGGGAACAGTATGCGTGTGGGCAAAGTTGTGATATTATTTAAATTATTTGTTCATTGACACATAAAAAGCATATTATAGTATTATAGCTCCTTATTATGTACATATTAAAACTTAAATAACATTTTTTATGCATATATAATAATAAATATCTGTATGTTATTATTTTATTCTGTAATTATTAATAATCCTAGCAACCAACCTGAATTTCTTGTAATTGAGGATGAACTGGTTTTTAAGGAAGATATAATATTTTCCATGATAATATTACATTATTTTCTAAGATTTCTAGGTATCCCTGATTCCTAAAAGGTGGTTTCTGGAATTTGGTCTGTCCATGTGTGTATCCGCTTTCTTAGTATCTAAAATGGTATTACAGAATTACTTGGTATCCGTTGCCTTCAAAATGATCTGTTATTTACAGGGAGCCCTTCCAATTCGATGGATGGCACCCGAGTCGTTACACTACAGAATATTTACTCACAAGTCCGACGTGTGGAGCTTCGGTATACTTATGTGGGAGATCGTGACACTCGGTAAGGAAATGCTTCTTTGCAGACCGCTACAGCTTTCTTCTAATTTCTTCATCTACCGAGGAACGCGTGTAACGATAAGTTTCAAGGCACAACTATAAAAAAAAAAGGTTTAGGTTCCTTGTTCTGTCGATACATGCATTTATCTAAATGTGAATGAGTGAATGAAGACAATTTTAAGATTTCACATCTGGCCAGAATTATTTTTAATTCTAGACTAATATAATCCTGTATTTTTACTGCTCTTACTGGTAAAACCAAGAATTATTTACCAAATTTTGGCTTAATACAAATAAACTAATGCAAAATGGCGTGCTAACTTTCAGGATCAACGCCGTACCCAACTATGGGTGCTCGGGAGGTAATGCGATGTGTGAGGGATGGATATCGACTGGAAAGGCCCGGCCACTGTCGCATCGAGCTATTCCGAGTCATTTCCAGATGTTGGAACGCTGATCCGAACAAGAGGCCAGACTTCGCTGCTCTCAGGTATGAAATCGGAGCATTGATAGAGGCTAGCAAAGATGGAGGAGGTTATGTCGATTTGGAGAGCTTCGCTGAATCAAATAAGTATAGTTATAACAGGAGCGAAGATCAACCATCGCAACATCATCGACATCATCATAATAATCATCACCACAATCCTGGATCAACATCGGCTACTCTCGGCAGCGATATCGCCGCAGATGAAGAGGTGATGAATATGTGACATGAAGCCGTCTGGGTGTGACGATGTGATCGCGCGCCCTTCGGTTCAGTAGCGCTCGTATAAAACATGGGATATGAATCGTCTACATGTCGAATTCTCCGGAATGAACGAGTAGAGCATATTCGCAGTACAAAACATCACAAATGCAAATGACGGATACATTCAAATATTAATTGTTACAAAACATCACAAATGCAAATGACGGGATACGTTCATATATTAATGGCGTTTTAAAAATTTAATACATTGATTTTGGCTGTAATGATAAACTATTTATTTAATATCAGGAGGGGTAAGAACATCACACACAGTGAAATTGAAGTGTTCCTTCGTAAAACTTGTTTTCAAGTCTATAAAATCTAAATGATTTTACAATTAAACATAAAATGACACTTTTAAAGAAGTGAATAAAAATGATATTAAAATAAAATAGTGATTTTTAAATAAGGTTTAGTAGTTTGTTGAACAACAGTTTTTCCAAACAGGAAGCTACGTAGAAATCACATTTTGAAACGTACGGCTTACAAAAAAAATAGATATACAGATATATGACTCGTGAGCATAGCGTGCATAAGTAATCCAATTATTAATGCGCTTAGGAACAAGGAGGACTTTTAAAGGAGACAAATATACTTTTGAAATGCATTGTCCCCCCTACAATTATGATTTATTACGCAAACTAAACAGTGCACCTGTTTCCAGATAGAAGTTTAATTTTAATTCCTTTTGACAAGAGATTTTATAAATCGTGCGTCATACGTTATCACATATGTTATATATGAAGGTGCTGTTGCGTATATGAGCGTCAATAGTTATTCCAGTTTTCAGTAAGATATTTTTTCGTCTCTCTTTGTATGTTGCGCAAAATTAAGTTTTTGGGGAAGGACAAGTGAAAGTGAAGCCCTGCTGTAACAAAAATAAATTGTGTCTATATAATTACAATTTACTGTGTAAAAAAGTCTATAGAAATACGTAGAGATGAAATATGCCAGTCTATTTTTATGAATATCGCATGTTAATAATGAAGATTTATTGTATTGAACTGTGCTTAACGTTAGTGATTGAATGTGTGTGATAATATGTTCTCCATAATTCTTAAGCTGCCAATTTCATACAAACCTCTTGGTCTCGACAGAATTTAGGTTTTCAGATCTGACACATTTTGAATATTCCTACTTTTAAACAATCTTTATTACCATAATTTGTTTTATTTTAGGCAACATTGAGCACATCTTGTTTGGTTTCCTGTATAATTTTTATAAATATTTCTTTCCATTTTAAGATGAATTTGTTGCAAGAATTTCTACATGTTCTATAATAAAATAACGATTTACTTTTGAAACAGTATTTTGGTACATGAATGATTTGATATAATTCATGGTTATCATATTTTTAAAAATTGTATACTACTATGCACAAATCGTCTTTTCTAAAATGTTAACACGATTTTTTTGTGTAAAGTTTCCAAAATATCTCCACCTCATTTTTATCATTGAAATTATTTGGTATAAAAGTGTTAATAATTAGTTTAATTTTACATCTATTAAATTTCCTGGATTTCGGATCTTCGATTACATGTCCACAGGTACTTTTATGCCGTCATGGTGTTTTGGATTCCTATAGGAATTTGAAAATATTCTAAATGATTTCTTATTTGGTCCCTGATGTGTACGAGGATCAGCCAAGGAGTTCTTAACGGTCAGTGTTCAGTTATTTGATTGTAGATGTGTCCATTATATATTGTTCTAATTACATCTTGGAGATTTATTTTTGATTGAACAGGAATTTTCTAAGAAAATTATGTCATTTGTTAGCTGCATTTTTTTTTATTAAAGTCTTGATGTGAGGCCATTAGGTACAAAGCTATTATTTAAATTTGCATATTATTTTATTAATTCATACAGAACCCTCTGTAAAATACAAGCTACTACCAGTTGCCTGCCCCACACATAACAGGTTGTTGGCCCCCGTTGTGAGTAATTCTGTTTGAGAGGGCGATCGATGACTGTCGACAAAGTTAAGTATGAATTATTCTATGCACCTCATTATCTGCAATGTGCATGAAACAGTGCAGGGAATTCTGTAAATTATTTTTAATGCCATCAAAAGTTTTCTACTACTGTGTGGCATTCCAAAATATACTTGAAAATTCAATGAGAAATTGCTCTGGCTATCACATCTTTTTCCTTATTTTGAAGACTATTGTTCATAAGCAAGTTCAAATAGTTATAAATTACAATAATTACAATTATGCTATGATATTTTAAGTATTTTAAAAGTAACTTCTGGGGTTTTCTTCAAGACAAAGCATCTGTACTGGAGACATCATACATAACCTCAAAATATGTTATAAATGTGAAAGTATTAAAAATGTTAAATTTCAGTATAATACAATGCAAAATATTTCTGTAAATGTATATTTTTTCAGTGTGAAACAATAATATCCCTTTGATTGAGTTGGTATTACATGCAGTGATAAATATAAAATATATTAGGCTTTGACAGTGGGTGTATTTTTTTATGTTATAAATGTATTCTAGTCGTTGAAATAAGTTTTCTATTATTATTCACAGTGCATATATTAAAAATATTCATTTATAATATTACATAATAATTTACACATCTTGACTGGAATGCACTGATTTGCTGTGTTATGTAAAGGTTCAGGCCAGTTTAAAAGAAGCCGCATCTGATCTATTTCAGTGCAGCGTTCCGTTACGGATTCAATGTTATGGATGTTTTATTGTATTAATTTGAAACATAATAAACTGATACAAATCATACATGGAAGTGTGGAATATTCATATATGTATAAACCTGCAAAATAAATGTTACAAGAGTTTTAGGTTAGGTTGTCAAATTATTAATCTAGCGTTATAATTGAAAAAGTAAAGTTATTCTGAGATACTGTACTTCATTATAATATAATATTATGTCTCTTACTGATGGAATAGTATATTCTAATATATTATTCAGGAACATTTTTGAAAAGTATAAATATTTGTGACATTTGAATATTTTTCTTTATTTCAAGAAAATAACTATTTTTGCTGTCTGAATTTTTTTAGATTATATACGAACATACAAATCTCTGCCTCTAGATGAAATCATTCCTCCAGATTTATTAACAGGTTGGCTGCTATTCACCTATTGATGACAGATATTTGTCATTTTTCAAAGCTGAGCAGCCCTAAGAAGATATTACATATACTTAATGGTTATTAAATCGTAGAACCAGATTTTCTCAGCACATGCAAGCTTTTGCTGGTTATAGCAGACTTAAATTAGGTTAGGGTTACTTCCTTTAATATTCTTCAAGATTCATTATTCATTCATCACTGTCATTCAACTCTGTGTAGTCTTGAGTCATTGACAGCGAAATTAAGTTAACAAGAAGAAAAGTATTGGTTTCAGCTCACCAAGAGGGTTGAAATTCCAATTCCACCATTTCCATTGTTCTCGAGGGGTTCGCTGAATTTCCAGAAGGTGCTGACATGAACGCAAGAAATGTGGAAAGGTTCACAAGCATATTGAAGTTTAAATGAATTTTACTCCCATGAGAAACATAGCGTAAGATGGTTTTATAGTATATTTTTTAAGACTTGTCAAATGACTACAAAATAAGCCCCTTTTGATTTAGTTTAATGTATTGCAAATATAATTTTGGAGATTAAACTACACCCCGCGTAATGTTTCATCACAAATCTAAAAGTTTGTGACGATGGTGAGTTATTTGAAATAAAAAGTTTTTTGGGGGTTATTCATCGTATAATAAAATTAAACGACGTTTCGGAGATGGGACTTTATCTCGTGGGATGATAGTTGTGAAGTACGACACCGAATCAGACTAGGGCGTTATTTGACTCAACAGCATAATGAATTCTGTTCTTCAAACTCACACCATGAATATGTGAGATTAACTTTATTTGTTTAGTCAGCTACTGTAATGGTTCCCATCGGGCGTCTTAAAACGCAAAATTTAACAAAACTAGAGCAAAGCGCTCCCTTCGTCTATCAGTTTCTGTTGATATTTAACACTTCGCTTTTCTTCATTTCTTAAATAGTTCTGATGTTTCAGTTGTTTACGTCGCTGTTCGGAGGCGAACTGTCAGTCAAATCTTCATTTTCAAGAATGCGACTGTCATGGTAGTTGGTGATCTCGTCGTTGTGAAGCGTCATTTGTTTACTAGGCATTTTTGTGTTGGTAACAATGCCGAGTAAACAAATGACGTAACATTGTTTGATGACAATTTGTTTGGCAACGACGACTATTATAATTGCGTGTTGTAGACTGTCCATTGTTGTTATCATGGATTTCAACATGAACCGACAAACCTGTCGGTGTAGGTTCAAAATACTTTATAAATCTATTCTTTGGATAGCTCTAGGTAAGTAGACTGTCTTGTCTATCAAAATTATAGCTATTTGAAGCAGGAGCTAGTGAATCAAAAGTTCCAGTCAAGCAACTACTATAACTGAAAACTTTGTTTGGCATTCGTAAAGGGACAAACAATTTGGTTAAGATATTTTTATTTCATATTGATTTATTTAACAGCGTTTTCAATGTCAGATAATATAGCGTCGAATGATAGGATTATTAGTGAATAATGAATTCGACAGGGTGTACAAAAAAGCAGTTACGATATAATAAAGAAGACAGCCAACTTCAGACTCACTAACGTGAAAACCTCAAATCCTACAATTATGGTGTACTATAAGTATTTGATTGAATACACTAAGGAAATCCACGAAAGACCCCAGTGAAGACAGCCTGTCTTCGGGCCGAAATTTTAAACTGGGAGCTACGAAATACTAACCATTCGACTGTGACGTTCTGTTTAAGATATTACGTCAGGGAAGATCTTCCTGGGGTTATACCCTATCGGCCTGCCGTTAAATTCTACTGATTTCTCCATTTTCAGTTGCCGTTAGATTTACTATACACGAAACTAATGAGTGTTTTGCAGTCCTGCTTTGTATCGGAGTGGTTAGGGCTCGGACACGTGACAGATTTTCGTGGTTTTCTTCACACCCTTTGATAGTTTGTTGAATAATATCCTTCCACAATAAAAATCTCTCTTTTAAAATAACTAGAAATAATGTGGTGCTTGATTCAAACATCGTAAAATAAGGAAAACCATAGTTGAATAAATACAAGAATACAAACAATTTGTTTGAGCTATTTTTGGAAAGAATTTTTGGGGTCTGCCTCCCACAGTTGGGGTCTTGTGACAAGAATGCAATGACAAAGAGGCCAACACCATAGTGGGATTGATAGGAACAGTTTAATTTCGTAAAAAAATGTCTTATCAATATCCTTGAAGCAGTATCTTGTTTAAATGTCTACTTTGATTTCATACATTTTTGTTCCAGTTTCAGGAATAATGTATGGAAGTATGGTATATATATCATCATACTTCTATACAGAGCATGACATGAAATTGGAGATCAATTTGCTCATGACAGAAATTAACCTGTTGAAGAACAAACATGATTTGCTCAAAGTCCATTACATTCAAATTCTAATTCAAAATATATAAAATGTGAATAAATTAAAAATATTATTTATGTGATATGACACTATTCCAGAGATCTGGTACCATCAGTGAAAGGATTAACAGCAATATTATATTAATTTATTGATAACATTGCCCAAAAGATTTTTGTCTAAACAAACTCTGTTGAATTTTTATTTGAATAGGACTGAGGTCTGTTTTAATTTTACTTTCCAAGATTTATTTTGTCTGGAGCAATAAATTTTCTTTTAGTAAATTTCAGTTTAGAAATATTAACATCAATTAATTAATAATGCTCAGAAATTTGTATGACAAAATTTAAAAACTTATAAAATTTTTGCATTTGTTTCTGACTTGCATGTTGTGATAATTTCAGTCTGATCTCAATAGTGTAAGAAGAGAATTTGAACATAAACTTACAGTGTTGCGGCCCAGAGTCGGCGAAGAACTCTTTGATGGTAAGCTACGAATATGTACAATAACACTATTAAAACTATTGTAATAGTTAGAGTTTGTGAAATTTAAATTATGAAATTACTTGTTCTGCCCTCGTGATTAAAATGTTTGTTTCTGTATTTGATTAATACTATTTTTCAACTGTATACTACTTAGTGTAAACAGTTATTTGTATGCACATTTTATATTCCAATACACTACACTGTATGCAAGGGTGTAAGATTTTCAACTGCATAGGTTATGTAGCACCATGTAACAGGATAACTACGGCTGTCGCTGTTTTAATCTTGTGATGAAAATGTGGAGTGCGGTCTCCTGACTACGGATATTACGTAGTCTTGTAAGTGTTTTCTGTTTCACATAGAGTGTGCTGTAATCTCACTCTTGGCCTCGTCTGCAGTTACAGCTAACGAAAACATCAAATGTTTATGTTTTTTTACAGAGCTTTCGGTAAGAAGTCTAAGTAAAGTTAGTGATATCGCCAGAAAAATAGCAGCTGAAGAAATTCTATTGTATGACGCTGACAAGACAGGCAAGCCAGACTTTGCTTTACAAAATTCAGGTAATTTTAACCCGTGAAAGATCCAGAAAGAATGTGTTCGCCTTAGTATATTATTTAACTGTATTCAAAACTCAAATGTGTTGCAGATTCCTTCCTTTGTAATAGAATATTTTATATTATTTATTTTTAATTTAGTCTTTGATGAAAAAAAGGTGGCAGTGCAATTTACCGTTTCGTACTGTGAGAAAAGAGCTCAGAATACATTTATACTAACATAACCATAAATATAGTAAAAGGTCTAAACTGATGATATTTAAAGCACAAGGGCAATCAAAATTGTTATCAAAGGTGGACAATATAATCTAATTTTGTCATCATCAACAGCAGGAGACAGAGTGGATACTTTGGGAGTTGTGAGGTTCGCAGTATTAATATGGAAAACTAATGCAATAGTTACACATTTTCCAGTGCAATGTAAAATGTGTATTTTTTTTTTTGAAGTGAGAAAAGAAGATCTTTGTTGTCCTTTCTTTGCCTTATTCTGAATCCAATTCTATGTTCTTTCCCAGGCGGTTCTATATTATCTGTACGCAACACTGAGCATTTCTTGAAACGACCAAATATACTTGGAATACCTATAGGTCCACATTCCCATTCAGCTGAAAACATCATTCAGGTACGTAAAATATTGCAGTTGGCCATGTGTAGATATGCATAGTAATATTATTCTTACAATAAAATGTTCATCTTCATTAACAAAAACAACAGACTGTAAAATTAATTTATCTTAATTTTCAACTCTTAAATTACATGATGTGGTAAGGATTAAAATTATTAGTGGCCTCTTTAAGGTACAATCACATGACAAATACAGTATGAAATTAATTCTTTCACAGAACACATAGACTTTAAAGATCATCAAAACACAATGTATAGGTATATGTACAAATAGTGTTTTGTTAAAATATGATATTCCAGTGTTATTAGAAAGGAAGGAATCTGTAACACATTTGAGTTAAATAATATACTAAGGCACACTCATCGTTTCTGGATCTTTCACGGGTTAAAATTACCTGAATTTTGTAAAGCAAAGTCTGGCTTGCCTGTCTTGTCAGCATCATACAATTGAATTTCTTCTGATGCTATTTTTCTAGCGATATCTCTAACTTTACTGAGGCCCCTTTCCGAAAGCTCTGTAAAAATACATAAACTGGCTGTAACTGCAGATGAGCACACACTATGTGGCCTTCTGGGTTGTGATGCCATCCTGAAGATGGAAGTGGTAGATTGATCTGAAACATTGGGAAACATATGAAACCACGTAATGACAGGACATGGAGGCCACGGTCAACCTTACGAGCATGAACGAGATGTTTCACGAGCAAAATTCAGCTACCATTTCTCACCCAAGTCTCTCCTGATTCACTACTAGATGGCTCTAGCAGACAAATCAGGATTGAGTAGAAATTGTGCAGTGCCAGTGGGCTTGTCACTCACTACTCATAAAGGCACACTTCAAAGTCGAGAAAATCTCCAAAAAGGAGTCGACGAAAACCCACAACTGGGTTTTAGAGTCGAGAAACAACAACAACGTACACAATTTTTCATTTGAACATTATAAGTTTATTCAAAGCATTAATTCTTTAACTGCAGCTAACATTGCAAATGGCTGATAGGATGATTCTGTTCTTCTAGTCTGTGATTTGATTGCGAAAGAACCATAAATAAGCCAGTTACGTACTCAAGGAATTAACCAAATCGTGGACTGACCACGAGTCACACTCTCTCGGTATCAATTCTGCGCTAATTACAGAATCTATTACTTTATTATAGGCAGGTGTTCTGCCAGGCGAATGCTGGGCATTTGAAGGTTCAAAAGGTGCTGTTGTAATACAACTTATTGCCGACATATACGTTACAGGAGTGTCTGTCGAACACATCCCGCCTGCTCTGTCGCCCACTGGAGCGACGTCCTCTGCACCCAAGGATATGTCCGTATGGGTAAAGTTCATCATGAAAATTTTAACTGGACTTGAGTTTTCTCATTGTTCTTCCATGGCTGTTTGTCAGTGCTTGAAATAACAGAAGAAGTAACAGGATATTTTATTAAATTCTTTACAAATTTCACAAGAAAAGCAGTAATTAATTATATTTTTTGTTTACTTAATCATGCTGGCCTTGTAATCCTGGGGTCTCTCGGGTTCGATTCTCGGCGGTGCCCGAATTTATAACTTGTGTTGGGCAAGGCCGTGGTCTAGGCAACACGGAGTTTTCCTCCGTGGCATCCCAACAATTACTCCATTCACACACAGAAGAAGGCAATGGCAAACCACTTCTGGATCATCTGCCAAGAACGTATATGAACAGGTCCCAGTCCGAGAAAAGGATGGAAGGATCCTGTTCATATGGACCTGTCCTCAGACAGAACACTAAATAAATATAATAACTGTCACTAAGTTCAAATGTAACGATGGATCGACCTTCATTTTACATATTGCGACTGTTCGACGTATATTTCATGTTCCATATAGTAAGTAAGAAGCCGTGAATTTATCTTCTAAATAAGTTGGAAATAGATCACATAATGACATTCATTGTCTGTCTGTTACAGGGTTTAAAATGTCTTGACGACGAGGAAGAGACGTTACTTGGGCAGTTTAATTATGATAATACAGGCGGTCGTGTACAGTACTTTGAAATTAAAGTAAGGCTTTTCATAATAGTAATATCAAAAATTGAAATTATTTTATTTCTGAGCAGCCCATGGTTAAAAGTGGCTGTACGAGGCATCAAGATCTTATTTAAAAAGAAGCTATTATACTCTTAACCTTGCAGTCTGTGAGATCACAGCAGAAATTATTATTTCTTATTTTTTCTGGAAAAATATGGCTTGCACCGGTCTGCTGTTCTCAGTACCTTCTTATCTTTCATTTATATGTCTACTCGTATTTCCTTTCATTCATTGTTCATTTAATGCTGTTTGTATCAGGAAATTTATTCTCTGGAGGTTTGATGGATCACATGTTCGTGCTACAGAAAATCCACGTCACTGGTTAATGTTGATTTTTTTTTGTGGATTAACATTTTAATTTTCTTTTTCTCCAGGACATTGGAAAATCATTCTCCATAGTTGAATTTAAAATTCATTCAAATCATGGTGACCCGAGATTCACGTGCGTTTATCGCATCAGAGTACATGGCAAACCAAAAATTTAGCAGCGCACATAAGAAGAATTTTGGAACGAGAGAACTAAAGACTGCATAACTGCCATTAAATTGGTTCTTGTTTGTTGTTGACAAAATACTATACATTATAACAGACTTTCTTTTCTGCATTTAATAAACATTTTCGATCTCCGTTGTTTGATTTTTCCATGTTTGGTGGGTCTCTGCCACCATGGCATGGCACGTCCTTCGGTTGCGGAGAAACAGCCTCCGCTTATGGAATTTAGCTGCGAATATATTGAATAAGTAGTCCTGGTCAGCTGACAAGGAGTTATCCTCCAGCTTGGGGGTTGGGCACGGGGCTAACAACCTTTCACCATAAAAAACTGTCTTGTTGCTAAAAACATAACCAAAAAGCCTCAGAACTGGACAGACTCTTTGGAATGACCATGACAATTTTGTTGGCCTAGGACAGGGACCGGTGGAGGGCTTTGGTTAATTTGGTGATGAACCCTAAGCCATCTAATTAGTTGCTGTTTGATTTTGGAAACAACACTTTTTATCCCCTTGTAGTTCACTTCCATTTTCCAATGCATCTGCAAGGTGCGATGTTTGATCAAGGGGCAAGGTCACAGGGAAGAAATATGGCACTAAAAATAACATGGAATCACCATCAAAAGAGAGACTACCCAAACTGGAGCCAGAACCTTGTCTTGAATGGTGCCCTTTGGATAATATTCTGTGGAGGGTTACTCAGAGCTAGTTTAGTAGGATCACTACCTGTCTCCTCTTTGATTTTACTTTTTAAACTGGCAAACATATTTGAAATATGTTTTCCAAATTCCTGAAAATGTTCACAATTTAGCAAGTATTAAAACGCATTATTTTAAAAATATGGTGACGTGGTGAATATGATAAGTGAATTATTACAAGCAGACGACATGCATGGATATCAGCGACTTTTCTTCTACTTACACCTTCAGTCGAACACAATGACCAGAAATACAACCTCATTAGGTTCGACCAATGACACCAAACAGGTGACATATTGTATTGGCTATGGGTCACTGTGTAAACGATGTGTTATAAATGTGAAACGAATTCATTTCCACAAGACAGCTGCCATGTTAGCTGACGTCATTGAAAATCGCATTAGGTAATCGTAGCCTATGTCAAATTCATTTGTTAGGTTATGGTGTGCATATAATGTACAAAATTGAGTAATAAATCAGTATTAATGGATGTTTAATATACAGTAGGCTTATTGAGATTATTTTTATGCATATTTGTCGTTATAAATTGGGCTTGATATTTAATGAATGTAGTACGCGATTTCTGCAAGAGATGTCGCAGAATGTAATGTCCATATTAATTGACATCTACTATAGTATCAAGTCCTGAAACACGTGTGAATTTGAAGTGAATTACGTGTGTTCGAACGGTTTCTTGTGTCAGTTGCTTTGATTCTTGGCAGAGTTAATAGAAGTGTTGTATAATTTTGTGTCATTTTTTATTATGGATTCACCTGCACCAGATATAACGTAAGTTATTTCATACATATGACTGGTTGAATTGCGTATCTTGTTTGTGTGGTATTTATATATGAAGGGGAAGGAAGTGTCATAACCTCACACATCGTTTGTATGAAGATCTCATTATCGAACAAAAATAATACATCTTCATAAATTTTCATTATTTTTCTCAAGATATTTCAAATGAGAAATACTAACAAAATATATACAGATAGGAATCAGTTGTCTACCAGATTCAGTCACCAGTATGATAGACTGATATATATTATATAGCATGTGGTGGTGTCACAATTCAAGGAAATTTGTAGCAATTCTATTGGCTATTGCAAATGCATTTGACGATGGACTTGAACTGCTATCCAGAATTGAAAGCTGTGGTAAATGTTTTAAGCAAGTGTGGCCAAGACTTCCATTGCAACTGTTAACAAGCAACCCATAACAGTCACTTATGCACCAAGTAGTTTGTCCATGGTTGTAGTAATCCTGCTTTGACTTTGGGAGGTGTCAGCTTCAAATTTCAACCTGAAGATTTGCTGCCCTAATTGAGGTGTTTGTATCTTTTATCAGTCGCTCGAGGCAAATGCTGGAATAATGCCTTAAATGAAGTCATGACTGTTTCCTTCCATATTCTATCCATCTCATTATGCTTCATATTATTTGATATCATATAGTGAGCTGCTGACAGAATCATTAAATAACTCATAAATAAAGTAATTGTGATATTTTGCATTGAGGTTGGTTGTATTTGTGTCTCCTTGTGTAGAAAATCTTGAAAGAGAGCTACTCTTTTTAGTTAGCCATGTACAATCATCCTGTTTTTTCTGTTCAGGTTCAATAATTTGTGTAGTTTATAGGGACTTGAAGCTTTGCAGTAACTAAAACAATAACATCTTCTTGGGTAATAAGTTGCTACCTTCTCTGCCTCCATTATCAGACTGATGACATCAGTCATTACCTAATGACAGAGGTAGAGAAGGTCTCTAAAGCACTCAATTTGAACTCTGAACCAAAGCTGATCACTTGAAAAAGCTGTATCACTAGTTGATACATTGTTATTAAGTAACATTCTAACCATGACATACAAGATTTCTCATACTGTGCTTACTGTTTCTCATATCAAGAGCTTTTGATTCTTTATCACAGAAATTGACAAGCATTTTCTTTTGCTGTAAGAACTTATGTAATGGCAACAATATAGCAAGCGGATAGTGTCAACTCTTCCATACCAAGTTGATTGGTGTAGCAGTAATATTTTAGTACTGTATTCTGAGTTGATACATTGTTATTAAGTAACATTCTAACCATGACATACAAGATTTCTCATACTGTGCTTACTGTTTCTGATATCAAGAGCTTTTGCTTCACAGAAATTGACAAGCATTATTTTCTTTTGCTGTAAGAACTTATGTAATGGCAACACTATAGCAAGCGAATAGTGTCAACTCTTCCTTTACAAGCTTATTTGTGTAGCAGTAATATTGTAGTACTGTATTCTGGAGGTACCCAATTTGAACCTTGGTCAGTTTTTATTATTGTTATTGCTTCCTAGTCTCTTCAGTTGAGTAAGGTTGGATGATGTAGGCTGTTTCTGCCTCCTTCCGAATCCTAATCTGCTTACCATTCTTAACTGTTTAATGCAAAGAGTAGAAACAGTTTTATAAACTGAATCCGTTTTTCTCCAGTCGAAAGTGTTTTAATTTTTTATAGTAAACTTATTAACAGAATGAGTATTACTCATTTCATTTGCAAAGATGTATATGTTTTCATTTATGTTAACATTTATTTTTAGTGTAAAAAAGATTCTTACAAAAATTCAAAGAACATGAAAAGTGATTATATAATTTTCACAACATTTCTATATTGTCTTATAAGTAAACAAATATTAATCACAGTTCAGGTATTGAAAAAAACTCAATAACTGCAACATATTCTGGTCTTATCATTAAGATTTACAAATGGCAGCCATTTGTACTTTTGAATTGTCCAAAATGCATATTTTTACAGTTTTCTGCTCAACCCTTTTACTAAAAAATTGGAAGACTTTAGTTGAATTGACCTGGCCCTTTCAGTAAATGTAGCTGAATTTGGTCTGTTGCTGATGAGAATCTTCTGAACTGTTAACAGAAATTGAAACCTCATGGATTCCTTGCATTTATTTATTTTTTTACCATGTTATCCACACACTGATGACTGCACCCTGCAAATGAGTTGACATAAATCAGAATTGTTAACACTGTTGTTAAGGCATTAACCACTTTCTTCTAAAGTTGTCATTGATGTTGTTAGGGCTCCAATGTAAAAAGCAAAATGTTCAGACATCATACACGCAGACCATACTGGTCGATGTTAACAAACGTTTCAGAGGTCATACTGCCTCCGTCATCACAGTATGAAGATTTCTGTCTTCTGGGTTGTTGCGCCGTGTAGTCTGGTAGATGTTTACCAACGTTTCAGAGGTCATACTGCCTCCATCATCAGGGCGATGATACTACATGGCGCAACAACCCAGAAGACAGCAATCATCACACTCACCGCTGTGAAAATCTCAAATCCTGCATTTTAAAAGTATCTTTCCAGACTTTGGGATGGGAGATCATTTAAAATGTACTTGAACATTGATTTTACTTTTGCTTTTCCCATAGTTACAGTACTTTTTGCCGTATGTAAGAGTTGCAGGATAAAATTCTTTACAAGAAGTAATGAATATATCTTTTATATCAGTTACTTATGCCTCTTTTGCTATAGCGTTTCCAATATTTTGGTGTTTATACTTTCCAAGCAATTTTAAATTCTTGTGACAGTAAGACAATCTTTTTTATTATCTTGTTTTGGCAGTAGGTATGAGAACTCTAGTCGTGGTGGTGTTGGTGGTAGTCGTCGTTCTGGTGGTAGTGGTAGCGGAACGTCTTTGTGCATAATTCCTTGTTGATAACGTCGGATGTTGGTGATCTGCGCAGAAGGTGATGCTCAAATCAATCATGTGTTTGATTCACTACCATGGCATTATACTTCAAAGATTTTACATTGGTTACCTACTTGTGGTCCTCGAAACACAAATGGCTAACGTAAATTATGCATGTTTTTATGCGATTGTAGTTGTTGAATTACATGAGTGGTCTGCTTACGCTCAAGCATTATTAATAAACATGTTATAATTTTATTTTAAAATATATCGCGTGCATAACACCTTGTTAAAATAGTCGGATATTGGTGATGGTGGGCGCTTACGCGTTTCTTCCACCTCGTGACTTTGATGCCTTCGTGTGAATTTATTACAAGTTTTGTGACACGAACGACTATGAATATTTATTACATACCTGTGGCACGACGTCCATTCACAATTTCAGCAATTTCCGACCATTTCGAAAATTCGTGCGCATCGCGCCATGTTCAGCTGACGCAGAATACCCCTGTTGGGTTGCGTTGGGTTAGTTACGTTTGGTTAATGGGGCATCTGCGCGGAAGATGATGCGCAGTGACGTGATGCAAGATGTCTATGTTAAGGCATCGTATGAGTTCTATTATCGATTTCGGGATCTTGAACACTCAAATATTTCAATGTTCTCAAATTATAGGACAATCGTGTGTTTGAGTCACTACCATAGCTTTACACTTCAAAGAT